TGGTGCGTTTCTATAGCAACCGTCACCATGGCACCAGAGGCCTGGATCCAACTTCCGGCTCTGCTGAAGCCCTGAGCTCCTGTTACCCGCACCCCCTACCCTGAGCATCCTTCATCCCACAAGGTAGAAAGGAGATGTGGCTGGGGTCCTGCAAGGAGAGCTGTGGCCAGGGTGCAGGGCACAGGGTCACAGGATTAAACATCACATGTGTTAGGACAGACACACCTGCCAAAGGTGGACACAGACTGAACGTTCACTGGTGATTCCAATTTGCATTGCTTCTCTCAGATGGGGCTTGGGGGTTGGGTTTGAATATGCAGCAAGGCCTGGAGCAGACTGGCCTCCATGTGGGCTGGCAGGGAGTGGTGGGGGGCTCTAGGTAGGAGGCCTAGGATGTAACCCCAGCCCCTAAGGCCCCCAGACCTGTGGCTTCTCTGAGCCTCACTCTCCCAGTCCATCAGATGGAAAGGGTAAACACTGATGCTATCAGCCCATTTCAGATATTAGAGAAATAAGTACTGTGCCTTGTACCTTGTAGGTGCTTGATAAATATGTCATGAGTGAATTAATAAGTAATATTAAAAGTAATGTCGCCTCTCAGTCAGCAAAGCTGTGAGCTCCAGTCCCCTTCTCTCCTCCCTGCTCCACATTCTGTTCAAACCCAATTCTGTTGCATCAGCTTCAGACCTATCTCCTCCTCTCTGCCATGTCCCAGCCTCTCAGCGTGGAGGTCAGGTCACAGAGGAAGCACTGGTTACCAAGTCACAGACCTGAGTTCTAATCCAGCCACTGTAAGTTGCTGGCCTTGTGACCCTGGGCAAGTTGAGTCACCTGCCTCTGCCCCAGTTGCACATCTGCCTGCTTCTATCAAGATCCCTTTGGTTGAAAGACTCGGAAACCCAACCAGGCGGGCTTAAGCCCAAAGGAGGGATGAGGTGAGGGTTGTGAAATTTAGCAAATAAAAATACAGAATGCCAGCTCAATTTGAATTTTTGATGAAGAACTAGTAAGTTGTTGGCCAAGCATGGTGGCTCATGCCTGTAACTCTAGCACTTTGGGAGGATGAGGCAGGAAGATCACTTGAGGCCAGGAGTTCAAGACCAGCTGGGCCAACGTAGTAAAACCTCTTCTCTATTGAAAATACAAAAAAAAAAAAAAAGATTGGCCGGGCATGGTGGCATGCTCCTACAATCTCAGCTACTCAGGAGGCTGAGGCAGAAGAATTGCTTGAACCTGGGAGGCGAAAGTTGTAATGAGCCGAGATTGTGCCAATGCACTCCAGCCTGGGCAATAGAGTGAGACTCTCTAAAAAAAAAAACAAAAAACTAATAACGTTTTAATATAGGTATGTCCCAAATATTGCATAGGGCATACTTGTATTAAAAAAAATCATTATCAGCCAATCAAATTAAACTGGGCAACCTGTTTTCTCTGGCAACCCTCGGTGGGTGAATACTTACCAGCTCATGAAACAAGCTGGACCCAGGAGCTCAGGTGACATCATGAGCTCTCCCCCACTCCCATCTCTGGGCTTTGCTTCGGTAGCCTCAGGGAGGCTTATCCCCTGTGAGGGTAAAAATAGCCATCAACTGCCGCTGTTCCTGAGGACTGGTTACAGAAGACTTCCTCCCTCCTTCTCTGCTTCCCACCCTGTGCCCACACGGAGCCCTATGCCTGTCTCAGGGATGACCCTTGTTTACCAAGTTGCAGCTTGCAGTTTGGGCAGCTCTTCAGAGGCCGCCTCTGATCTGGCCATCCACAGCTAGCTCTCCATACCTGAGTCACTTGCCTCCAGATTTTAGTTTCCTAATCTGTGGGGTTAGAGGACTTGACCTGCCAGGGGTCACAAACTCAAGCGACACTAGAGTTTAGGCCAGGACTTTAAATAAATAGGTTCCTGGAGACAGCAGCCTCATCTAACAACTGTACAACTCAGCTCTTGTTCTTTGCTGTCAAGCAGGAAAGCAGACCCAGGATTGTTTCAGATTCTCCCAAAGAACTAGAAATCTGGATATTTAAGGAAAAAAATCCCAATTGTGAGTGGTGGTCCCCCATTGCAATCCAGAGCTGGGCTTCTCAGAGGGGCTGCTGGAAACTGCATGCCGTGGAATGCCTGAGGGTGCTATTTAAAATGTGGATTCTCTGGCTCCACCCAGAAGCTCTGGAATCAGCACCCAGAAATCTGCCTTTTAGCAGGCACCTTCAGATGAGGCTTAAGCCCATTAAAATGTGAGAACTACAAATCCTGGATTTTCCATTTTAATAAGGTAGGCCCTTCATTGGCACCCATTACAATGGGGACAGGAGAACCTCTCCATTAGCATTTTCTCCCCAACCATTCCGCCCTCCACCCCAGTGCGACCTCAGAGTTTAGCAGGTGAAGGAACCAGGGCTTTGTGGAGCAGGAGCACTTGCCACCTGCACAACCCAGAGGGAAGGGACTTCGATCCCCATTTTATTCATAGATGAGAAACCTGAGGCTCCAAGAGGGGAGGTGACTTGCCCAAAGTCACAAAGCCATCAGTGGAGGAGCTGGAGTTCAAATCCCAGTCCATGAGACATCAGAGCCCCTGGGGAGCTTTCCACCAAGCCAAACTGTCTCTCCCCAAGTGGAAACAGAAGAAAGGCAATCATCATGTTGAGAGAACACTATTGGTTCAGAGATCCTCTCTCCCAAAGTCAGCTGATAGCATGACCTCCATCATCTGTGATGGAGGAGGGGGAACTCAGCAGTGTCCTGAGAAGGAGACAGGGGAGGCAAGGCAACTTTGATAAAAGCGGATGGCTCCCGGGGACAGGACAAGGGCTGCAGCAGACATCAGTTCTGATGCACTCCCATGTCCATTCAGTGCCCACGGCATCTCCCAGAAACATGCCCGCCACCCGGCAAGTTTGGCTTGAGTTAAGTATTGCAACTGTGAAGTCTTAAATCACAGGGAGATCAGGCATTTGACAGCTGGGGGGTCCCGTTGCACTTACTTTGCTGTGGTCTCTATCTCTGGCTACCATTAGGTCAATCAGTGCATCTGGCCACGGTTTAGTGAGGTGCAGATTTGGAGTGAACATTTGCTGAGTACCTCCTGTATGCTCTGTGCTTTGCTAGGCACAAATGACTGGAATTTGATGTACTGTGTTCCAATAGAACATATAAGGCATGCTGCCCCCAAAGTGCTATGGGAATAGACAGGAGAGAGGTGACTTTCACATGGGAAGGATGCAGGGCAAACTTGTGAAGGAGGTGGCCTTGGAGCTGGGGTGGCAAAGATGTGTTGGAACTGAGCCACACAGAAATGAGAAGGTTAGGGCATTCTCTGTGGCATAAACTGTGAGTCAAAGGCATGGAACTGATTCTAGCCCCCATCAATTCTGCCTCCCTGACACTTCCTGTCTGTCCTGGAAACCCAGCACATCCCAAATCTCAGTTATTTACACAAATGCCTCCTGGTGTTTGCTATATTCACATACAAACTGTGCTCATTTGTTTCACATTTTTCTTTAAGTCAGCTCACCAATTTTTATTTTATAGAATTTATGTGAAGAAGAATCTCTCACAACAGTAATTGGAAAATAGGTTGCACTTGCTATAAATAGATGGCCACCATAAAAATAAGAACACCAAAAGCAAAAGAATGCTACTGAAATGCAGCCAGATTTCTGCTACCCTGGAGAGATGCTGAGTCTGCAGCCTATTCTCTCTCCGGTAAAGAGAATCATGAGTGTTAAGAGGCATTAGGGACACCCCAGCACTGTCATGAGACTCTCCTTGATCTAATCAGAAAGATAGAGAACTGAATAAGATAACTACTTTCTTCAATGCTCTATGTCCCTGAAGAAACTCTAGATACTGCTAGCATTCCCCACCCCCTTTTTGGGTAACTGAGTCCCAGCTGAAACCTGAGACCAACTACATGTGTACCTCCATGGTTTCCCTTATACTATTGGCTTACAACAGTGACCTGGGAGACCTTAAGCTCCATGGCTCACCGTTACCTAAGGGCTGCCATGGTGGGTGAGCACTGAGCATAATAGTAATAACAATGACCAAGGACCGCCACAACAGCAGCATCCACCAAGCACCATAGCAGGTAGCAATCACTGAGTTCCTACTGTGCTTCAGACACTGTAATCAGTCTTTGCCCGTATTACATTATTTCATCGTCGCAAGGGTGCCATGCCCATTTTTCCAGATGAGGAAACTGAATAGAGGCACAGAATGGTCAAATATTTGCCCAGGAGCAATTCTGTCCTCCATATGTCTTGATTTCCTATACATGACTTCATTTGTTTACTCGTTCTTTCATTCAAACATTCATTCAACAGATATGCCTTCTGTTTCCTTTGATTTCACTAGAAACAATACTGATTTCAGCTTAAAATGAAACTTGAAATCCCTGCTGTCTCCAGCTTCCTGCAGGCTTTGACTCTCATCCCTCCGCTCCAGGCCTTCTCAGATGGCTTCCAGTTGCCCTCTGTGAGCTTTGCCATGGTGTGGCTTCCAGATCTCCCACTGGGACCCAGGCACCCATTCTTCTGGATTCTGAGAATGTTGGCTGCTGGTGACTCGTCACTGAGTCCTTCTCTGGGGTTGGCACTAGGCTGAAGAGGACTGCGTGGCCTTAGGTTCTGGCCCCGCCCCTGGGGGCAGCCACAGTCGTGACTGATATGTGTGGGGGAAAACAATGCAGACCCCTTGCCCCTATTCAAGCCAACTCCATGGGGTCACCTAGGCTCCTGAGCTCCCAGGGGACCAGCTGAGGCCTCAGTGGCAGCTGCATCACTGTCCAGCTTCTCCCTCTGCCCAGCCTTGCCCCTGCACCCCCTCACAGGTAAGCTTCTCCTGCCTACTCCCCCAAACGCCATCCGTCTCAGCCTGCTTCCTGGGAAACTCAAGCTAAGACCCCTTCCGAAAGCACCCATTACATTCAGAGCTGCCACCTGCTCATCTCCCAGCAGCCCCTTCCCAACCGAGACCCCAGCGGAGGAAGCCTGGGAACCTCAGACCTTCACAAAGGGCCTTGTGGCACCAAAGCCCCAGGGTCACCTCAACCTCCACAAGCTCGGAAACCTTGAAGGTTGTTGGGCTTCTTTATTTATACGTTTTACTACATTAGCTAATTAGCTTTCTTCCCAGGCCCCATTACTGTTCCCTCAAGTGTATCGTGGCCTCAGCTCTAATGACAGGCAGCCACTCAGCCTGGCCAGGGAAGACATTCTCTTTCAAGCCCACAGGGATCAGTCGGGAAGGAGAGAGGAAGGAGAGGGGAGATTGGATTACGGGGTGTCAGGCGAGGGTCACTGCTCCCCCCACCTCTTTCTGCCTTCCAGCAAGGACAGCGAGATCAGCATTTCCCTTCTTGCAGTGGGGCGCCCTTCCTGAGCCAAGAGAAGAAGGCCCACGTGGTGAGTGGTCTGCCTTTGCTTGATTCTGAAATGGTCCATTCTAAAACAGAGCCCACATCTGCCCCAGACTTGACCTCTAATATTTCTTAAGTTTAATTGCAAATTACTGTCTCAGCAATTCTGTAGGCTTCCCAATCTGGCCTGAGCCCAGAGGAAAAAGCAGAAAACAAACGAAATTAGAACCTGCGGGCTGCAGACGCAATTCGGGATGTGGACACGAGGCTCACGGTAATCATACTTAGCGTGAACCGGGCAGGAGAACTCAGCCTACAGAAAAGCTCCCAGGTCACCAAGGGCCGTCCCTGCTTAGAACCGCACTCTTAAAAATTATTAAAGACCTTAAAGTACTTTTGCTTCTATTTACTACATAAGAAATTAAAGCTGAAGAATTGCACAGACATTTATTTCTGTGGTAATTTAGAAAATGTAACAAGTCCATTCCATGTTAACATATAACATTTTTATAAAAATAAAAATGTTTTCATTTTTACACAATATTTTTACCCAATATTTTTACACAATATTTTACACTATATTTTACACAATAAAGACATTTAATAAAAAGTGCGGCATTGTGGTACATGGTTACAGACCTATTTAATATCAGGCTCACTCGAAGACAGCTGAATCTTCATATCTGCTTCTGCATTCAATCTGGTGCCACATCTTGTTTTGATGAACACGAATAAAGAAAATCTGGCCTGACACAGATACGTACTTGGAAAAGGGGGAAGTATTTTAATAGCCTTTTCAGACAATTATGGATATTCTTCTTTGAGGCTACATGAAAAGTTGACAAGTGGGTAAGCGATGTTGCAGTGTAAAATCTGAAACCATGTTAATGAACTCTTTCTACTCCGTCACTTCAAAATGCAATGGTCTGGCTTGACCTTTGAATGGGTCTTTTACCCATGCACGATTTGATAACATCATGTATTTTGTTCATTTGGAAACTATTGCTTCGCTGCCTCCCCCGCAGATCTTTCAAATATTGACACATTTCATTATACAGTATCAAAAACCATATGCCTCCATATCACCACAGATCTCATGGGAGAAGCGTAATGGGAAGTTGCCACCCTCGTAGTGGCAGATAAAATTTTCCAAACTTCTAATTTTCACTTAGCTTGAATTTTATCATTGGCAACAAGTACTGCTAATTGCTTTCTTTGAAGTGCCAGGCTCATTTTGTTACTTTTCGGGAAAACATCAGCCAGAAAACCTATCTAAATTACCATGGGTTGTGCTGTGTGCGTGCGTGTGTGTGTGTGTGTGTGTGTGAATTCTTTCAAGCAGAATGAGTGTTCCATGAAAAAAGTGGCTACTTCAGCTCAAACAATCACATGTGCTTTTCCTTGTCATTACCTTCAACCATTGTGCTTTGGTACGCAGCTGGGTGAGAAGTGCTTTATGCATACTTTCCATTTTTTCACACAGATTATTAAAAAGACATGCATTCAAGGGTTGAGAATTTTTTAATTAATAATTTTACTGCTTCATTTGGGAGGCTGAGGCGTGTGGATCACTTGAGGTCAGGAGTTCAAGACCAGCCTAGCCAACATGGTGAAACCCTGTCTATACTAAAAATACAAAAAAAAAAAAAAATTAGCTGGGCACGGTGGGGCATGCCTGTAGTCCCAGCTACTCAGGAGGCTGAGGCATGAGAATCACTTGAACCAGGGAAGCAGAGGTTGCAGTGAGCCGAGATCGGCCACTCCACACTCAATCCTAGGCGACAGAGTGAGACTCCATCTCAAAAAAAAAAAAAAAAAATCAACAACAACAACAAAAATTTTACTGCTTCATTAAGAATATTTCTAAGTGAAACTGGCATGTGTTGTAATGCGAGTAGGTGATAAGAATACAATGAGTACCTGTACACTTCAGGGTCACTCCCTTGACTCATACTAAGGTATAAGCAGTTTTACCACCTCCAGTGTAAATGACAACACAATGAAAAAAGAAAATAATATCCCGGAGTTATGAAAATGGTTTTCTTTTTTCTTTCTTTCTTTCTTTTGAGAAGGAGTCTAGCTCTGTCTCCCAGGCTGGAGTACAGTGGCGCGATCTCGGCTCACTGTAAATTCCACCTCCCAGGTTCACGCTATTCTCCTGCCTCAGCCTCTGGTGTAGCTGGGACTACAGGCACCTGCCACCACACCCGGCTAATTTTTTGTATTTTTAGTAGAGACAGGGTTTCACTGTGTTAGCCAGGATGGTCTCGATCTCCTGACCTCGTGATCCAGCCACCTCAGCCTCCCAAAGTGCTAGGATTACAGGCGTGAGCCACAGCACCTGACCCCGAAAGTAGTTTTCATTGTGAGGCCCCGTGAAAGGATTTAGGAGGTCCTCCAGGGTTCCACAGACCACAGTAGAGAACCATTTAAGTGAGGGGAGTGTAGCAGTTTCTGCACTTCCAGAAACTCCCAATATGACTGAGATGAGAGACCATAAACAGACATAATTACCATGTCTTGTGATGAGGGCCAGGCTGGAGCCATGGCAGATAGAGTGACTTGTTTTCCAATGGGGAAGGTAGCAAAGGTTTCACAGTATAGGAAATTTTTGAAATGGGTCTTGAGGATTGAGTAGAGTTCATGCAGAAAGAGAAAGTGGATCTTTATATTTCTAGTTTCAGAAGGACAGGTCCTAGGAAGGCAAGGCACCAAAAAAATGAAAATAAACAGGACAGTTCATATGATTTTTTTTTTCTTTCGAGATGGAGTCTTATTCTGTCGCCTAGGCTGGAGTGCAGTGTCGTGATCTCAGCTCACTGCAACCTTTGTCTCCCAGGTTCAAGCGATTCTCCTGCCCCAGCCTCCTGAGTAGCTGGGATTACAGGCGCATAGCACCATGCCAGGCTAATTTTCGTATTTTTAGTAAAGATGAGGTTTCATTATGTTGGCCGGGCTGGTCTTAAACAACTGACCTCAAGTGATCTGCCCGCTTTGGCCTCCCAAAATGCTGAGATTACAGGTGTGAGTCACTGCACCCCACCCATATGATTAATAAATAATATTGGCCATCATCATGGAATACCTATTATATGCCTCACACTTTGCATACATTATATTTATCTCCAAAAACCTACTAAATGCATACAATTATTGTTTTTGTTCAGAGAAGTTGGGAAACTTCCTTAGGGACACAGAGCAAATCCACGAGGAAAATCAAGATTAAAATCAGAATTGGTTTACTCCAAAGCCCACTTTTGTTGTGTTTGCTTCCTTCCCTAGAGGAAGCCAAGAGGAAGAGCAGCCTCCTGGGCCACTACTGCTCCAAAACTTAGCTGTTCCCTGATGTTGACCAAATCAAGCCCGGTCCCCGTGACTTGGCGTTCAAGGCTTCCCAATGCAACTCCACCTCCCCTTTCTAGCCCCACCTCCTGTGAATTCACAGCTTACCACACTGGAATTCTTTCCTGTTACCCAGAGGCATGACCTCCACCAGGAGTCCTTTCATCCTTTCTCCTGCCATCTTGATTTACTGCTTGAATCCAACCTATCTTTTTCAGGCTTACACATCCCTCCTTTCCAATCCTCTCCCCATAATCTCTGTCCTCAGCACTGCTTATCTGCATTGATGTCATGCATCACGGTCTGTGCACCAGACTACAGGCTCTTTGATGGCTGGGCCCACGTGAATCTAAGAATATTATCTCTTGGTTCTTATTCTTGCTTTTTGAGACTCAGTGTTCCCCTCTGTAAAATGGGGATACTGGTACCTTACCTCATGGGCTTGTGGTGATGATTAAATGCATTAAGGTGTGTGCTGAGAAAGCTGCCTGACACATACTGAGTGCCCAATCAGTGTGAGTCACTTTTGTTATTATCATAATAATTACTGTTGTTAAATATCACTGGGGGAGAATGAGCCTATTCCTGCCCTGCCTCAGTTTCACAGCACATTTTCTCGCTATGAGGGCAGGCTCTGTTAGTATCACTCATTTTAAGCCTGTGAAGAAGCATGAAAATATGTTCAGATGTATGTTCCTTTGGTTTGCCTGCAAATAGTTCTTGTTTTTTGTGTGTTTTTTTTGTTTTTGTTTTTCCACCCTGGCTGGAATGCAATGGTTTGATCATAGCTCACTGCAACCTCCACCTCCCAGGCTCAAGCCATCCTTCTGCCTCAGCCTCCCAGGTAGCTGGGACCACAGACGCGCGCCACCACAGCTGAGTAAGTTTTTGTATTTTGGGTAAAGAAGGGGCTTTGCCATGTTTCCCAGCTCAGGCTGGTCTTGAACTCCTGAGCTCAAGTGATTTGCCTGCCTTGGCCTCCTGAAGTATTAGGATCACAGGCATGAGCCATAGCACCCAGGCATGCCTGCAAATAGTTCCGTTCCTGGGAGCTTATTTTAGTCGGGTCCCTCCGTTGTCTCCCTAACAAACCCTCATGGACCTGAGAAATGTGGAAATGCCTGAACCAGGCCCTATAGCCAGGTTCTGGGGACAGCTCAGAGCACACAGAGCCCTGATTAAAAATGCAGCGGTGTTGCCATCCTATTAGCCGAGTATCTTTCCTTTTTCAACTTCACACACTCACCCACCCTCCATGGGCTGCTTGGATGAGGTAGCCCGTTCAATCCTGCCGGGCACCTGAAAACAGAAAGATAATCGGCACATTAAACTTTTATCTCCACAGCTGTCGCTCTAATAAGCAGACAAGGAAAGCTCCTCTGTCCCCAGGCTCTGACCTGCCTGAAGCAGGCTGATGGATTGTTGTCAGGGTGCTGGGTTGCTGGGTTTGTTTTTAAGGTTAGTGAACAAAGCACCCCAGAATGCCAGCTGCCCCGGATTTGGTGACTATGCTCTTGAGCCACGATGAGTTCTTGGCAGTGTGTGGATTCTAGGGAGGACGGGATGTGGTGAGTGGCCTCCAAAGGGCAATTCAAGATCAGTCCTGTGGAGGCTCCCAGCTCCTGTTTCCAAACACGCTTCCTGGCCTGCAGACACCTTGACGGCCAACTTCGTGTAAAGACTTGGTAGAGATGATTCACCGTTTCCAACATGTTTCATCATCTTTCTAAGGTTGGTAGAAAGATCTAGCCCTACACTGATGCCACCAAGGGGTACCATATCTGTGACCTTGTCTCAGCCAAGGTCGCCATGGCAGCGATGCTAGCACCTTCTACGCCACCACTGGGTTCAACACTT